CATCAGATCACCCCTGAGCCTGCACTTTTCCAGGCTAAAGAGCCCCATGGCTCTCAGCCTGTCGTCGTAAGGTCTGCTTTCCTGACCTCTGATCACGTGCGTGGCTCTTCTCTGGACTCTCTCAAGCTTCTCCACATCCTTTTTGAATTGTGGAGCCCATGTATAGAACCTAATTATTGGAGAGACATCTTAAATTTGTTACCCCCACCCACCACCCTGCAGAGGGGCAGGTGATAGGGGGAGTTAAATGGCCTGACCTTTGGCCCTTGCTGCCTGTGTGTCATCCCATCTCCGTGTCATCCCCCCCATGCCTGTATGCCCTGATGTCCACCCCCCGCCCTCCCATGCCTACCCCACTGGTGGTGGGGGTGGCGGGGGAGGAGGGGAAGAGAGAGGATGCAACTCCAACACAAAACCTGGGTTGAGGCTAGAGTCGGAGATCCAGCAGTCCCATCACCCCAACTTCCTCCCACCTTGTACTCAAATCCATGACAGAGGGCTTTCTCTTGCCCATCCCTCCCAATGATAAATGGGGTGGAGGGAGGAGGAGGAACCTTACCTTAGATTTGAGAAAAAAGACACTATTAACAAGTTCAAACATGTAACACTTCATCATCAAGGAATATCCTCTTTAATCTCAATACCTCAGTGATAAATCTACAAATACAATGTTAGTATAAAAGACACTGAACTTTCTCTTTCTAAAGCCTGGCACTACAGATCCAACAGACGCACAGTAGCTGTGGCAACTTATTTGCTGCCTCTTCCATTGCCAAATGCATAACACTCTGGGACATAATGCTAGGATTCCTTTACTCCCTTTAAAAGATGATGGCATAATCTTTGGCCCTTCTCCCAAGCTATATCATGAATTTTATCTGCAAATATACTGGTACCAACACCTAACCTACTTAGTACATGTTAGAAATTCAGCTGTGTTATCACTGTGCATAGATGCAGCATACTAATTATCTGCGTGGGAAGCAGTGATGCTGCTTCGATAAGCTAAATTTAGTGTTTTGGTTTCATGTAACCTAAAGCAGTAGCTTTTAAAGCATGAACACTTTCCTAAAATTTCTAGTGTTATTTTAGTAACAGAAGGGAAGAACAAAATCAATGATCTGAAATAAATCAGTTGTCAAGATAAACAAAACTGCAAACATTTTCCTGTACTTGTTCACATATACTTCTGTAACACGACAAAAGGATGGGGCCAGTAATTCCACACAACTTAAACAGTGGAAACACATGGCAGATGCAATTAGGAACACAAATGTATGAACCCTCAAATCAAAGTATATTAGTTCACCTACAGTTTCAGAAAAAGAACAAAAGTTTCATCTTCATAAAAGGTGTAAAAAAGAAAAAAAAAAAAACCATGGCTAGGAAGGTTTGATGCGGAGGAGGTCCTTAATTTGCTGTTTTCTACCTGATTAGACTGCTATGGTAAAATAGGATGACTCAACATCAAGGACTTAATTTCATTATATTTATGGTTCAACAGATGTTTAAAGGGTATTTTAAAAGACGCACCTTTAATATATGGGACCCAACTTTTGTCGGTGACCTGTTTGAAAGAGAAAACAATAATTTAGATTAAAAAACATGCAAAAAGGTACTTAACACTCCAAAAATAAATCCTTCCTTATTTACTTAACGGAAGTCTCATGTTAAATGATTACTGTGAGCATTTTCCTCTTTAGTGGTGGTTCATTTTACATTTTCAGACTGAAAATACTGTTTGCCTCTTGTACATTAAAAACAACAAAAATCCCCCCTACTGAAAAACCTCCCATAGAGATTATGCTGCAAGGTCATTAACTCTTAGCTCTTGCCCATCTAACAAAATACTGCTAACATTGTTACATTGGTTAGGGGTGTGAAAAAACTCACCCCCTATGCCCAAACTCTCTGCCAGAAAACACCCAGCAACTTCCACTGAAATATTCAGGGGAACTAGAATAGCTCTGGCAGCAAAAAGATATGAGGGGGCCTAGCTGCTGTAGACTTGCCGAGAGTTAAATTAGTAGTAGTTGTCATAATGTTGAAATAACCTTACCAGGGATTTCCCAGGGAGCTAGAAGGAATGAAATGCTCAGTTTCCACTGAAATTAAATAGGAGCTGGGAATCTAACTGCGGTAATCTCAGCATATTCTAGCCAAAAGCCGTTTCTCAGAATCTGAGCATCAGATGAGCCCCCTGCCCTCATTCTTCTCGCACAAGTTATGCTATTCTTTGTCCACATCCGCTGAACGGTTCTAATCAGAAGATATTAAAAAAAAACTGCTCATGACAGATGCCAGATAGACACCACTGAAAACTGAAGCCTTCACTAAGAACAAAAGTGGAAACTCAAAAATGGTGCAGATAAGTACTTCAATTCAGACTTCTTGCATCCTCTCTGACGAGCCCTTTTACTCTTCAGGCTCCCTGTGAACACTGCAACCAAGATCTCAAATGAACCTGGACTGAAATGCGGACACTTCCACACTGGCAACACAAGAGGAAATCAGCTTTCTACACTGGGCCTTCAGAAGTTCATACTCTGGACCAAAAACATGTTAGCATCTATTTGATGTAACATCACGTAAATGTAATTAGAGAAAGGGATTAGCTATCACTGAACTGCCTCGAGGACACTAGGGATGCCTATACGAGCAGAATCAATTAATCTAACTGGAAACTCCAGTGTGCTTCCCCACCACGCGTATTCAGCATCCTGTATTTCAAAGTGGTGGCAACTGAAACTTGCCAAACAAGCACCCCTGCAGCCATTTTGAAACATGGGATGCTGAATACGCAAGATGCTGTGGTGTTTTAATTAGAGGGGCAGTCTGGGAGCCAGTAACAGGAAGCATGCTGGTTGGACTTTTGCAACAGACCCAAACACCAAGCTTGTTCTTCATTTCTGATGTTGTAGGTAGAAGACTCTCATATCGAAAAGTGCTACTTGTGTTGACTAAGGAACCTCTAAAGTTACTTGGATGTGGGGGGGGGAAAAACTACCTGTATTACACCAGTAAAAACTATGGTTTCAGGCTTATGGGGAATAAAATCTAAAATTGTTGGCAAGAATGTACGAGCTGCTTTGATCGGCAGCAGAGATCACTGAACATTACTCTGTCATACATCTATTCATGTTTTTAACTCTTCCTTGAATAAAAGGGTTTTTTATCCCAACATCCTCCTCCTCCATTTTCTTCAAAAATGATAATTGTAAGGGATAACAATTCAGAAAGACAAGACTTCTGTTTCAACTTTTTGTCAAAAATACGCTAAATAAACTGAGATTTTCTAAATAATTTAGACCTCTAAAAGCACTCTGTATAAAGCAAATGCTGTTTGTGTAGAACCTTCATGAAAGAAAGTTAAACAAAAATCCCATTCCTTTAAAATATATGCAGATAAAAATAAAGTATCCAAAAATGTTTTTAGCTCTTTTAAAACTATCATTAGGTTTCAAGTTGACAAGATCCCTTTAAAAAATGTGAATTTTAAGTTCACTATCAAATTAGAGATATTTCTGTTTCTGTATGCCCAGTGCATATAGAATATTTGTAACATAGATTTTTTTTTTGTTTCATAGATCAACATGTACTACCCCAGAAGTAAACACTCAGGGACTTCAGGACAATAAATTAGGATTCATCTGAAAAAGTTAACAACTGCCTGTTACCCTATATTCATGAGTCAAATCAGCTATCTAGAACCACATCACGCTTGAAGTACTAGGACTTGAAACTGTACTCAAATCCCTTCATTTACAATTGAAAAGGAAAGGGAGAAATATTATAAGTAGTACTGTCACTAAAGCCACAAATATCAGCTCTATTTTATTTCTTAGTGTTATTAATCATGATTATTACAGTAGTGCTAAGGGCCTGAACAAAGTGGAGCCTCAGCAGACTCATCCCCATACAGAGACAGGATAATAGAGTCCCAGTTAGGCGGTGTATCATCTAAATAACCATAACAACCAAAAATATCTAGCTTACTCTACATGGCACAAAGTAATATTAAAATGTGAGGTATATGCACAAAACTATCAAGCAGGGAAACACCCTCTCAACAGAATACTTATTTGCTAATGATATGGGATATGACAAATACAGTTGTTCTTCTTGCCTCCTATCGGCCAATTATCTCGAGATTCAAAATGATATGTTTAGTAAATTAACTGCGGATTCTCCCGGAAACTAAATTAAATATTATTTTCCATTTGATTTATTACCGAAACATACAGAATCTCTCAGGAAAAGAGCACTGAGAACAGTATCATAAAACTGTTGAGGGTACTACAAAATGAATCATAACATTTGGTCACAATGTGGAATAAAAACTGTATTTTCTATAATATAAGCTTTTATGTTGCTTTTGTATTCATTTAGAATAAAACATTATTCTTTATAATTACTACTGGATGTAGGAAAACTATTCTTGTAGATCAGCTGGTAGTGTACTTGAACTAACAATAAAAACCCTATTCATGAGACTTGTATGCTAATTATAAATAAATTAAATGAAAAAAAAATGTCCCAACTGCCGCCACCCCCCCCCCCCCCAAACACAAGGTGTTTGGTGTTTTTATGCTGTTATAACATCAAATATACCACAAAAGAAAAAAAAGGATGGAAAATATACTTCTTGCCTAACATTTTTTAATTAACATTGATCTCGAGGTCCCTCCCAGCCTTATTTCTCTGTTTCTATGTTCTGGTCTCCTTTATTTTCCCAGCCTCCTACAATGATCAGATTTCTTCTTTTTTCATTTCTATTCATCCTCCACTGATGTTTTTACAAGTACTGTATCTCAATACCAGTTTCCTTCAGGAAAAAAAAGTTTAATACAACTCCTAATAATAATGCTAGAATACATGGCGATTTTGTTACAAAGATCAGTTTGATGATCTTGAGCTTGCATGAAAAAGTTAATCCATTAGTCTTTTAATGTGATGCCAGCAATGGAAAGAACTTTACTCAAAAAAAAAAAAAAAGATAAATAAGCTAAATTCCATTATTAGTTATGAATGTACTGGTGAGTATAATCTTATATTCAACCAGGAAGTTTATCTATGATGCCATTATCTAACTGGTACAGGAGCATCTCTGTATAATGGATTTCATAAAAATGGTTTTAGATAACAATCAATTTTTAGCTATATGCAAATAAAGAAATGCACAGAGTAGCTAATTCAGGTTACTGTATCACTGCTATTGCCCTCTTATTTGAACAAAAGGGGCTCAAGGCTGTTATAAAGTGGGAGTCCAAGACAGTGCCAGCAGGACAGTACAGTTCATTAGAAAGTTCAGTCAGTCCATTTGAAATTATCAGCAGCTTCCTGAAGAATTTTCTTTTGCTTTCATTCAGGCTCCCAATCCATCTTACAGCTGCCCAGGCTGCAAAAGACCTTCTTCCCACCTTCCATTATTGGGCAGTTCCATGCTAGCAGGGTCTCTCAAGCAAGAACAGAAACTTTATGAAGATTAATAACTTCACCCCCGAATAGCCTCTTACCAAACTTATTTAGGTTCAGTCTGTGCTAAAGGGAGATGTTGACTGGCAAAGGACTGGTCTGAAGCCAGACTGGTATCTTGCACAGTCAGCCTACCCCAGCGAGGGTATCCGTTGCTGGTCTGTCATTTTTAGTTAACAGCAGTAGCATGTAATGCTTTCCTCCTTCCTCTGACCTAGGGCTGGCCTGGAGGCTATGCCTATTCCTGATGCAGTTCTCACTGCAGGATTCTGCACCCTTGTAAGCACCAGGATACATAACTGCAATGCACTTGATTCGAGCTACCCTTGGACAGTGTTCAGGAACTTCAGCTGATGCAGAATGGCTTAAGTTGGGTGAAGCATTACAGGGACATAATTAATGCTGCATGCTTTGAAAACAAAAGTTTTGCCACTGGTTGCCATTGATTTTCAAATGCCATTCTGGAAATAGGTTAACAAAGAAGTTGTCAGAAAAATCCAGCAGGTCACCTAGTCTCCAATAATGACCAGTACTCTGCTTCAAAAGAAGGTTTAAAATTACCACCACAACCCTAGAGGCTGTCCGGGAATAACTCCAGGAAAAAAAAAAAAAAAATCAGTGTTTGGCCTGCATACTAAAGCAATAGGGTGTGTGAAGCAGGCAGTATTCAATTCGGATTTGGCCCGATGCAGGGGACAGTGATTCAATTCGCTGATTCAGATCACTGTCCCGATTCTATTTGGCCGAATCTGAAGATTTGATTCCGGTTAGGGAATCAATGATTTGCCCATACACACAGCTTTATATGTTTTTTCTACATACCTCGAGGTACTAGGTGCGCTCGTGAACGCTGAGATGGTGGGGTGGATGGAGCGTGCCACAGGAGAGCGTGGGGGTGTCCACTGCCAAGCACACGGGGGACCCCGCCCTCCCCCCCCACCCCAGTTATCGGCCGTGAGGGGACCCCGGGTGCAAAAGAGTGGCTGAGCTGGGAGGGGGACCCAGAAGTGGACCAGAAGTATTCCTGTGGGACACTCCATCTGCCCCACCATCTTAGCATCCATGAGCCACGCCTGTTACCTCACGGTACAT